GAGCGGCGCACATGCATGCGGGCCCAACGCACGCACGCGCTCATCCAGTCCGCCGCACGCCCTCCACTCGCGCGCCCAGGCTCGGCGTGCGGGCGGCCGTTGCCATGTACTGATCCAGACGCCGCCCTGCCGCCCTCGCCTCCCGACCACTGGGCCGGAGCGGCGCCCTTCACGCAGCTGCACAGCCACAGAATTGCGCGCAGGTCCTTGCACACATGACGCGCAGCTGCACAGCCGTGCACACGTGCGTACACGAGCACAGCACTTTTGCCGTCGTCGGCCTGTTGGGACCTCTCCGCACAACGCTTGTCCCGCTTCGAACAGGCAGCACTTAACACCACCCCGAATGCATGCACACAGCGTGCCTGCGATCAATGGACTGGACACGCACGGCGCCCTCGCACGACGCACCTCCGCCACGGCCTGCGGCCTCTTGAGCTTGAGCCAGTACTCTGGGGCGGCCGCCTGCAGCGCCGCCAGGTGCGCGTCGGGGGAGCCCGGGTCGAAGCGGTCGGCCCGCCAGTGCAGGTAGACGTGGACCTGCGGTGGGTTCGGTTGGGCATTGCACTCAATGCCTGGCGTACAGTAGAAGGGCAACGAGAAACCAAACCCCAACAGTCTGCCACAACGTTTACTGAACAAAGTTGTCTACCGGCGATGGACGCGCGTGGTTCACAGGACAGCCCCAGACCATAGCAAGCCAGCGGTTTGCCGCTTCTGGTCCGGCCGGCCGGAGCGGGCAGGAAGTCAGCGGCCGCAGCTGGGCGGCTGGGCTGCAGCGGGTGGGGCGGCCAGTGAACTGTTGATATGAAGGAACTATTGATATCAAGGAGATCGATCTCGTACGCCCACCAGGAGCACCAGGGCGTCGTCCTCCTGCAACTCTATCAGGGGCTGGTTGTAGATCAGGGCCTGGCCAGGCGGCCGCGGTTAGTTGGGGCAAAGGTCGAGTCACGCGAGGGAGGACAGAAGTGTGAGCGGGAGAAGATGCGCAAAAGCACCAGAGGGGCGAAGGAGGCGCTGGGCTCTTGCCAAGGCTGACTTGCGCTCGGCGGCGCCAGCGGGGGCTGGAGCGCTGCGGGCGGGGGACCATCGCTGCGGCATCGGCCATGTCCAGCAGGTACGTGTCGTTGCACGGATGCTACCCTGAGACCACACAATCAAAACGAGAGGCCGAGATCAACGAAGCACACCTCGACATCGGTGTGGAGGCTGGCCAGCACCCTGACCCGCCCCGCCGCCGCAGCCGGCAGCGTTGACAGCAGCCGGCGCTGGGCGCCGACGGCGAACGCCTCCGCGGCCGCGACCACCCCGGGGTGCAGGGCGTCTGACTGGCGGCCGCACGCGCGGCGGTGGGCCCCCCGCAGCAGAGGGGCGGAGCCGCGCGCGCCAGGCGCTGCAGTGACAGTCGCCGCGTCCAAGCCGGCGGCGGCGCCGGCGGTGTCTCCTGAGGGGGTCCATGCGGCGGCGACGTCGCCCATGCCTGGTACAATTGAGAGGGGCGATGCGGTGGCAGCAGCGGCGGGCAATCATGTTATTGGCTGTGACGTATCCATTCGGCAGCTTGAAACCTGATCTGCTGGGGCCAAAGCCGCACCGCACCCGGACTGCTGGCCTTCTGATTGTGCTTGACGTGCACACACACGCCTCTCCTGGCCCCGAACAGCCCCTGAACCTGGCCGGCCTGTGTAAAAAAAGCGAGCAAGCTACCAAACCCCCAAGCGTCCGCCTGCTTGCCCGCCAGCCCGCCAGCGCACCCGACGCCGCAAACCACGGGGCCGTCATGGCCGCCGTCTCGCGGCTCATCGTCAGCAGCTTCCGCGCAGCTTCCGCCTTGACCCCGCCACCCCAGCCCTGGGTCGCGTGGTATGAAATGAAGCCCGCGATTGCATCTCCAAATCCCGCCACGGCATCTTCTTGGCAAACATCAGCGGAGACGTCGCCGCGGGAGGCGGGGCGGGCGCCGCCAGCCGCGCCGGGGGCGCCCGGCGGCGGGGCTGGGGGCGGGGCCGTCTGGGCGTGGTTGGCTCCGGGGATCAGGATGGACGGGCGGTGGGCGGCGGCAAAGCTGCTTGACAGAGGAGGGCCGGGTGCATGGGGCCGGGGTGGGGCAGGGAGGTGAGGGCGGGCCTCTTGGCGGGCCAGCCAGGGCGTGCACTGCAGCTACGCCCGCTGCGCAACGGCGCAGGCGACTGTGCACAGCTCACCAGGCCCCCCGACGGCCCCAGCGGCTCGCTGCCGCAAGGGACAGTGGCCCCCAACGGCGTGCGTGCTTGCGCATGTGCATGAACGTCAGCAGGCGGGGGGCGCCGCCGTCCTACCGACCTAGGGCCAGCCTTTGCGGCCAGGCAGGCCGACGAGTAGAGGTGTCGCGCCAGCCAGGGCCACCGCATTTGACCATCCAGCTCCCCTCCCAGGACCAACAAGGGCCTGGCCGCAGGCGCCGGCGGTCAGCGAGCGGGGCGCTCATACAAAGCGGGTGGGGCGGAGGCGGCGGGGTGCGGAAGTCGGAGAGGCGGCTTGGGCCGCTGGGGGGTGGGGGGCAGGCGTACGTCAGTGAATGCTACCCCAGCAATGAGGCTTATTGCGTGTGACCAAGAAGACTGATGGGATTTATTGAGCCTGGCATAGGTGCAGGATTTCACGGAATTGTTGTTGGCGTCAAGGGCGGCGGGGGTATGGCAGAACCTGCAGCTGGCCGCTCCGCATGATTTCGAAAGCAATGGCCACTTTCGGCACACCTGCCCCAGTCCTCGGTGTTGACCGTGTCGTGCCTGACATAATCAATGTTGAAGACGGCCGCCAACATGATGGCCCCGGCAGCCGACCTGCACACGCACGGTGGCGGGCGCGATGATCTACTCCTCGCTGAAAGGAATGGGTTGAGCTGATTGCCGGCGGCATTGGTTTACGCGGACGGAGTGCAGCGCAACAGGGCGTTGGTCAGGTCTTGTCGCTCGGTACGGTGGCGTGACCGCCTCCAAGCCCCCGGCAGGCGGCTTGCCCCCAGCGGGTGAAAAGCAGCACACTCTGCTGCTTTACCCCGCCGAGCGACCAGCGGGGCGGCGCGCACTTGCGGCTGGACGCCAAGCCAGCCGGCAGCGCGCGGCGGCCAGGCCCACCTGAACATGACGTCACTCAGCAGTGCCCCAGCGACGCTGTGGGCCAGGATGTACATGTTGGTGACGCGGCCTGGAGGGTGGGGCAGTGCCCCGGCATGGCGCAGCTGGGTGGGCTCACCAAGCACTGTCTTCATGCATGTATGAGCGGGATTATGGCAGGGTGGGGACCTTAACTCCCCTGTATGGAGACCTGAACTGCGTCTGCACCCCTAGTCGCTACTAGGGGCCCTGATAGGGCCCGCTCGCCCCCCTTTCAGACGCCTGCAGGGGATGCGCCGCAGCCGACTCCTGTTCGCGCCCCACGCGCACGCGTCCACGTCGCACCCCAGCTCGTGGCGCGCCCGCGGAACCCGGCCGCCTCCGCCGCCGCGCGCGCGCCGTCGACGGCGGCCGCTGCGCGGCCACTCCTTATGATGGCCTCCCCCAGCTCTGCCTGGCTCATGCCCGGGCGCCCCAGGTCGCGGGCCATTGCCATATAATCAATGGATGCGACAGCCACCCACAGGCGCACGCCGGGGGCCCGAGCCTCAGGGGGGAAGATAGCGGAGTGTGGTGGAGGTGGGGGGGGTGTAGGATACTAGGACGGAGGGACAAGGCCTGATCAATATCTGGGTAGGGACGGCGGCGGACACTGTTGCTGGAGTCGTAGAGTGTAACCAGATGGTTTGAGGACGATCACTTGGGTGCACACGTTTGCCTGCGACAGGCAGGCAGGTTCGACCACAACCGCCACATAAAACCTCCACCAGGTGCGCGGGCCCGCAGCTGACCAGGTGCGCCGCACAGCTGCTGCCCAGGGCCCCGCGACCCGCTTCGCACCATTACGGCGTCTGCCAGGGGTTGCAGTGACTCAGGGGGCAGGCCAAACCCTGGCGCCATGACGAGGAGGCACTCCGTCTCGGGGGGCGCCGTGCTGCCGGGTTTGGGGCCTGCACGGCGGCAGGATTGGGGTTAAGGGGTGGGGGTGCTTGTTGATGATGGTGGTGGTGCGTGGGGGGTCCACTATTTGTAAAGCTCGACTTGCTGGTTCGCCGCTTGGAGCTGGAATTCAGGGCCTGCCTATGTATCTCCAGCAACGAGGCGGGCATCTAGCCGCTGCACTATTGCGCATGTGTGTCATTGGATTATGCACGGGCAGGCAGGCCGTACCTAGGATGAGGTGGGGCGGAGTAGCAGGCATAACAGGGGCGGGCCCAGTGCGCCCAGGGGTCGCGGGCGAGGCCTGGCGATCTGGGCCGGAGCCGGCCGATGCAGATGCATTGTTGACAGCGCGCATGCGCATCCAGCTTTGGTTTCTGCTTGAAATCACAGGGGTGTGGGGCCTGCAGTGTAGTGCGAGGCAGACATGAAGACAGAGTCCAACTGTCGGGGCGGCTGGTGGCGCTCTGCAGCACGGCACAGAAGGCTGTGCAGTGGTTTCGAGCCTGAGCGTACCTGAAGAATGGTCTTTGCATGCCCCCTAGGACCGCAGGCCCGGATTGGAACGATACCGAGCGAATGGCGACCCGCGACATGGCTCGAGACTGATCAACGTGACCGTGTGCGTGGCAGCACAGGCAGACACAACAATTTAGAAGCTTTTCTTCCTGGTACATCCCCCGTGCGTTGCGAGTTGCTCGATCGGGTCTTCTGCAATTATGATGACACATCGCGACTGTGCCGACACCGATGGTCCGCTGCCCCATTACCGTCCAAGGCATGGCGCGGCGTGATCCCTTGTCCACCTCAGGGCGCGGTGTCATGTTCAGGTGTGACAATGTTAGTGCATGCACATTGACAATGTGCATGCAGGTGTGACAATGTGCATGCAGGTGTGACAATGTTAGTGCATGCGCATTGACACGCGTGCGCGTCTTGTGGCGTACATGGAGTCCCCTCGTGAGCCCCCCAGGGTGTTGACCGCACGGCAAGCGGCCGCTTCCCACAACAGCCCAGCGGCGCGCGCCTGTAAACTCTGAGAGATTACAACTAACTGTGTTCCGGCGGCCTTCAGCGTGCTGATGCTGCGCTGATGAGGGGTAGTGCCCACGCGCGATTAAAGCAGCCCAGCATTCAGCCCGCCGCAACTGTAATGAGGAGTGTGCGCTGCACACAAGCACGCCCAAATGCCCCTGCACCTAGCTTGAACCGAGCAGACCTGATGGGTGAGCAGCTGCAGGACGCGGCGCGCAGCAAAGTTCATGGTCAGTTACATGATTTCAACATAAAAGCAGGAACTCCACGCCCGGCAAGCGGCGCTGTCAAGCCTGTGCTGCGCATCTCTGCGCCCCAGAAATGGGCCCCAAAAACATGCGAGGGGCAAGGTGCACTAATTCCATTAGCAGCAGAGGAATGGAAGGCCGCTGACGGGCAGTGCTGGGGGTGTGCCCACAGGCATTCACCTATGCCGGTGGCACAGACAACAACCAGTGGCCGCGGAGCAGGCCGGTAGCGGCTAAAGTCCACCTGACATCGAACACTCCGGAAACCACCGCTAGCCGCCGCGAAACACGCAGGTCAAAAGCAAACTCTGCAAAAAGTTGAAAAAGAGACAGCCCGCCGAGCACCGCGCACAGCTTTGAACAGATTGTGCAAGTGGGCATTTCCGCACACCCCCCTCGAAAGCGCTCAACAACATTAGCGCCCTAGCCCTCCCAAGCCGCGCCGTCGCCGGCGTCGCAGGCCCGCGCGGCGCCGACTCGGCACTTGCTGGCACATGCCGGGCAGCTGATGAGAAGTAGAGCCGCTGAACCCCTCCGCGCAAGGGGCCACGGAGACTCAGCGCTTGGCGGTCAAAACACGCGAGATTAGAAATGAGATCACTTCAGCTAGTGGTACACGCACACAGAGAGGAGCAAGCCGACGAGTTGTCCCGAAAAGACAGGCGCGCAACTAGGTGCGCCTGCCGCCACCCGGTCGTCCGCAGCGGCAGGCAGCTTGCCGCAGCCCAGGGGCCACCACGGGGGGCCTGTGGATGCGCAGCCATGCAGTGCTGAGGGGCACTTGCGCTGCCATTGGGCCTCAATGGCCGCCGCTGACGCTGACGCCATCACCATGGCCTCCGCGCTTACTCGCGCCCGCGCACTGGGATGGTGACCTTAATCGGCACCGCCGTGCCGCCGCCGCCGCAGCTGCGGCAGCGCATGTAGCCCGTGTGCGTGCAGGAGTTGCAGCCGGCGTCGCCGTCCGACCAGCGGGTGCACATGCAGGGCTCGTAGCCGCGGCCGTTGCACATAGGGCACGGGCGGCGGTTGGAGGCCTCGTTGGCGAGGCGCTCCTGCAGGTTAGTGGATGTGTGGGGGAAGGGAGGGGGTTAGGCGCGGTGGTTGCAGCGGCGCTGTCACAACATGTGCTGACGAGTCGCTTGCTGCCCACGGCGGACCGCGACAAGCAGCCCGTGCCGACGCACTGATGAATAAGAGTGATTTTCAAGACCGACACATTTTCAGGCTGCAGGGCTGGCTCTGAAGGCAAGGCCACAGGGCCGCGTGCGAGTGGTCAGGGCTGCGCGGCGGACGACATCGCGGCGCAGCCAGCCAGCAACCCGCCCGCCCGCGCACCTGTGCTTGAAGCTCGCGTTGCAACAAGATGAAGCCGGCCACGGCGACCACGGCGCTGCTGATGATCCCTGACACGCTGCTGATCCCGTCACCGCCCGCGCCACCAACGTTGAACGCGCGCGGGACGAGTGGTGTGCGAGACCTTGCGTTTGTTATGCGGCTGCTGCATGGTCGCGCAAGGCTACCACTGTGTCCGAGCCCCCCAGGGCGAGCGGCGGTCCTGGATTGCTGTGCTTGCATCCTGCTGGCCTGCTGAGCAGCGCTAGGAGGTCTGATAGTCTAGCTTTACGGTTTGCGACCGACGCGCGGTGTGTGCGAGGCTGACGAGCGTGTGAGGAGCGGGGCTGAGTGAACGTCAAAAGGGTGGTCGCTTGTGAACAAAAAGAACGCTTCTGAGGCAACGATTGACATGTCACAGCGCGTGGCGTCACAAAGTCACGCTTCGGCAAGAGAACCGACAGGCGCACAACCAACAGGCATTTCCAGGGGTGATGCGCGCGCGCCAGGTGCGCGCTGAACGATGGTGCGCTCGGTCGCCACCCTCTTGAGCTGCTTGCCACGGGCAGTCCGTCATGCCAGAAGGTTAAGAAATCCCATACTGCATTTTGCTATGACTGCAAACTGATGTGCGTGCTGAAAAGCCGTGCTCGCGGTGCGCCACCCACATGAATAGTCACACTTTACACAGGACGGCCCAACCGCCCCGGCGACACTTCTAGCGGCTTGCATGGCAAGCAACCGCTCTTGCCACCACTGCTAGCAACTTCGCATGCGACTTCGCCCTCAAGCTGAAGTGCACCATTGACCCATGGCGCCTGCTGACGTGTCCCATTCCAACACTGCAGCTGCAACGCGCAAAGGACACCGTTCCCCGAGCTGCTGCACCATACGCACCCCAAGCAGTAAGTTTGAGCTGCCCAGAACATAAGATAGACTGTGTGGACTGCTTTTGCCCAGTGATGGACGACGCGCTCGGCTTGTTCCATGCCGCCAGGACCAGCGACCGAAGACCTTGACCACAAACATTGAGCGAGGTTCAATTGATAAACCCCAAGTGCAGTTGGTCTGGGCGCATCCAACACGGTTGCAGGGGCTGTCCTGCTGCAGTGGAGTGGTGCTGCCTCGACGACCCTGCGTCGTCGAACGCTGCGGCCGGACACACCCCCATGTCAACGTCAGGACCAGGTCTTCGTGGACGAGCTTGTGGTTGGAACGTTCGACTGGCTTGCATGCTTAGAAATAGTCTACGGTACACACGATTCTTTTGGCTCTGCTGCGGGCTTGACCGATCCCGGTGGCTCGCTCTCCGAAGCAAGCAGGCCGTTTCCGCGACCCTTCCCCCGAAGAACACGTTCAAGATGATTGTAGCATGCTGGAACTGTTAAATGAATCTTGGAAGCGTCGCCTGCGCCAGCACATGCCACGAGGCGTCGTGCCGCCCCACAGCACTGCAGCACCTGGTACTGTCTTGCAGCTCGCTACAATAACATATGGCAGCCGCCGCACCAGCATAGACGACCATCGGTGGCATGGAGCAGCCTGGTGCGCCTCAGGTGGTGCGGCTGGACCAGGTGGCGGCGCCGCGCCCGGGGTCAGCCTTGGCGCAGCTGCCCCGTGTGTCAGGGATCCCCGACGACGGCATACGCCTCACAGAGGGCCAGGAGCGCACCCTGTGCGTCTCCACGCGTCTGCCTCCGCAGCTGCTGGCAGGCGGCCGCGGCGGGGAGGTCAGATGGTGCGTCCCGCCGCACCGGCGGCCCCGAAGTATTCAAACGGGCAGCTGTGCCTCCTCCCGCCCGCCAAACGGCGCAGAGGCACATGTGTTGGCCTGCACCACGGACCACGCTCCGCGCGCAGTATGGCCGTATGCATGCATATGCATGCACGCACATGCACTCGCTCGCATGCGCACGCACGCACCCATGCACGCACGCACGCACGCGCGCACGCACGCTCGCACACACGCACACAGGATTACGTGCGCCCCCGTAAAACATTATCAGTATCCTACATACGCACTGCAACTCCAGGCATGCGGATGAGTTTGAGCTCCTTGAGGAGCTCTACCGCGGAAAGGCCAGCTCCCTGCACAGGGCGCGCCACAGGGCCAGCGGGGCCGTCGTAGCCCTCAAGACCTACCGCAAGCGCCAGCTCAGCTCCCTCAACAGGCGCGCCGCGCCGCGCCGCGGCGTCTGGCGGCGCCCGGCTCGTCCTATTCGGACGGTCAGACAGAGGGGGCTTGGTTGTGAATGTCGTTGGCAGTTGCTTTCCAGCTGTGCACGGCACAAGCTGACCTCTTGCGGGCTGCTAAGGGCGAGCTCCAGTGCGTTTTCAGACAGCACCACCCTCTGGCCCGCCGCGCCCCTGGGCCCCGCGCCCCTCCAGATTCCAGGTGGAGCGCGAGGTGCGCCATCACGCGATGACTCACCACCCCCACGTGGTGGCGCTGCACGCGGCGTTTGAGGACGGCGAGAACGCTTACCTGGTGCAGGAGTACGCGGGTGGGCGCGTGCTGCTGGGCGCGCGCGTGTGTGTGCGTGCACTCACTTGTGCACGCGTGCGTGCAAGCATGTGTTTTGTGTGTGGTGCGGGTGTGTTGTGTGTTGCTTGGCAGCCTGCGGTGAGTATCTGTGCATTTCTTTTTGCGTTTGTATGTCGTCAACGGGGTGGAGTGCGTAAAGTCACATGGCGTCGAGTGCTTGCAACACGCAGGCCTGGGCCCAGAGGTGGTGGGCGCGACACTTCATATTCCTTCCCCTAATGCGTTTGGTCCTGACGCCGCCCAGCTTCAAACCTCTGATGCCGGCGCCGTGGAAAAAGTATGCCAAACCCCCTCCACCTTCCCTTGTCACCCATCATCAGGCGGAGGGGACCTGTTTGAGGCGGTCAAGCGTGCGCCATGCTGCCGCTTCAGCGAGGCCCGCGCCGTCGCCGCCTTCCTCTCACCGTTCCTGGTGCGCACGCTTTGGTCCCGAACCCCCCTGCCTGTTGTCATCGAATGGGGCCGCCGATGTGGCCGGCCGCATTCAAACCCCACCGCTCCCAAAGGCCACTCCGGGCCGTTGGAGCGGGTGCATACCCAGTGTTTGCGCACCCTTCCGAAGTATGCCTTTCGTTCCAGCAGTTCCCCCCTGTTTATACTCAGAGCGAACCACACCCCTGCTGCCGATCCCCCGCGCCGCTACTGCCTCTTGTCTGTTGGTGGTCGACACTGTCACGTGCTAGTCAGCCCTGGAGCACCTGCACAGCCTCGGGGTGATACACAGGGACATCAAGCCAGAGAACATTCTGCTGGCGCGGCGGCGGCGACGGCAGAGCGTGCTGCAGAACATGCTGCAGAACGTGCAGCAGAGCGCGCAGCGGGGGCCGCCGCCGCCCGTGGGCGGTGCGGAGCAGCTGTGTCAGGCTGCAGGCGACGCAGACGCCCCGCATCGCGCCAGCGCGCCCGCGGTAGGGCCGGAGGAGGAGAGAGCGCCGCAGCAGGACGGCTGCGGGCGGCGGCAGGCGGAGGGGCGGGCTGGGGACGACGAGGATCTGATTGTGAAGCTGGCAGGTGCGCCGCCTGCTGTCTGCAAAAACGATGGCACTCGCAGACGCGCCAGCCATCACGCAGACAGCGAGCCGATACGTACCCAGCACCAGTTGAAGCGGTTGCCGCCGGCTGCTGCATGAGGAGGCGCGCGTTTTTGCGCTTTGGCGGATCACAGCGGCTGTCGCAACACACAACCCTGCCGCCGCGCAGATTTTGGCCTGAGCATCTGCACGCGGCACGAGCGGCCCGTCACGCGCGCGGGCACCCTGGACTTCATGGCGCCGGAGGTGAGAAGTTCACTGTGCATTTGGGTCAGCAAACGAGTGGGTGTAAGTCATCAATTATCTCCCGATGCTGCGATGCACGGACAGAGGCTGCCAGAGGTAACCCGGGTAAAAACGGCGACGTCAGCTCCAAGGGGCTGCGACCATGCGCGCGTTCGCTGGCCCTAGCGTGCAATGTCCATTGCAGCCACTGCCGTAGGCCAAACAGCTCGGGAGCGGCATGTTGTAACGGCGCCGCGGCTTGAGGTGGGTTGGGTCCCCCGAACACAGGCCACGGCAACCCCCCAAAGTGCCACCTTCTGCGCTCACTCGCCACTGACAAAAGGTCCTGGTGTGCCCCGACAAGAAGCTTCCCGGTGACAACAAGGACCGCGCGGCGCTGCTGGGCTATGGGGCGGCCGTGGACGCCTGGTGCGCGGGGGCGGCGCTGGCGCGGGGGCGGCGCCATTGCTTGGGCAGGGGCCGCCTCGCTCTTGCAGGGGCGGCGGGCCGCGGGCCGTTGCGATTTCTGTTGCTGCCTGCCGGCGGCGGGGTTGTGATTGTCCCCAGGGAGGCGCGCGGGCCGGCGAAATGTACGTGAGCATGCACCAGCGCGTGGTGCCAGGCCACTCCCAGCTTCCTCGCCATCCCGCCGCAACACTGCGGCTAAGCCTGGATCAAAGCCCCAACCAGCCCTCACTCTCACCCAACTGGCGGCTCTGGCAATCCTGGCCGCTCACGCCCCCGGCCCTCAAATCCAAGCCAAACACACTGACACCCTGTTACTCCCCACCCCCCTCCCCCCGCAC